ATGACCAAGGGAAAAAAGCTGACTCTAGTTAAAATGGCTACGTTAAACCTCTTCTTTCTTCATTTTATGGCCTATGTCTTCACCTCCTTATTCTTCCTTCAGAATGTAGCCTTAAGCTATAGCTACAATTTGTTCAGATACCTTCCTTATATTGTTCTGCAACATCACCAACAAGAACAAAACATTACTCATTTCATTCTCCTACTTAAAACCCACCATTCTCTAGCACTTACCACATGAAAAATTTACTATATAGTTCTGTCTCTTCCATATACTGAACACATCTCCATTCTTACCACCCCTTCTCCCAATAACTCAACATCTTACAGTAATGTCTATTTGGCACTCCATTTAGGGAGCCATCTCAGTTTTTCTGTTTTGTAAAAATACAGAAAACAAGTGTTGTGGAACAAAACTATGAGGTATGTGTCTCCCTTTTAGCCACAGACTGTTATCATATAAAACATTTTGTAAAAAAAAAAAAACTAGAAACATTTGTAAAACTGCAGAATCTGTACTCAAAACTGACTTAATGTGTTAATTTTGGGGGGCTGTTTTAAGGACCAAACTTAGGGCTTTGTACCTGGTGGGCCTCTATTACTATATAATGCCCTACATTATTCTTATCTGAATTTTCTATTTGAATTTCTTTTTCACTGCAATATGCCTGCATAGATGCTAGTATATTCTGAAATAGTCTAAGTTCCTCTCAGATGAATTACAGTACCAAGGATATTAACTATTTTAATATAATACCCACAAAAGAAAACAAAAACTTTCCTACATCTAAACATTTTCATGAAAAATTTCAGGGCTCTCATGTATAATGATCTAATAGCAAAACTATACTATATGCCTAAAAACTATGTATACAACACTTTATTTTCCTGGACAATGTTAGCCTTAGAACAACCACATGTATATGCCTTTTTCTTTTTTGGTGTTGGCTCCAGGGCTTGAACTCAGGATCTAGGCACTGTCCCTGAGCTTTTTTGCACAAGGTTAATGTTTATCATTTGAGCTACACCTCCACTTCCAGCTTTTTGCTAGTTAATGGAGGTAATGACTTTCCAGTCATTGTTGACTTCCAATGGATATCCTCAGATCTCAGCCTCTTGAGTAGGTAGGATTACAGGTGTGGACAAGCAGTGCCTGGCTACATATATGTTCTTAAGAGAGGTGTTAATAAGAACATTTCAAATTATTATCGAATTCTTGCACTGAATACAGCACTATTTTTTTCTCACTTAATTCCTCCTATAAATACATGAGATACTGAAAAATAAACATGAGATTCTGACTTGCTTAAGTAGTGCTAGCACTTACATTTACTTTTTCTCATTACAAAACTAAATGTAAGCTGCAAGTATAAGTGACAGTTCAAGGCCATCCTTGGTTACCCAGTGAGACCCACTCTTAAATATTTAGGAATATAACAACAAAATCCTTCCTTTGTATTACGTATAAAATTAGTGACATACAAACACGTGAATAGCTGAGAAGGTGGCTTAGTGGTAGAGTGCTTGCCTTGCCTTGCATGAGGCCCTGGGTTCAATTTCTCAGCACCACATAAGCAGAAAAAGCCAGAAGTGGTGCTGTGGCTCAAGTGGTAGAGTGCTAGCCTTAAGCTGAAAAGCTGAGGGACAGAGCCCAGGCCCAGAATTCAGACCCCACGACTGACAAGGAAGGAAGGAAGGAAGGAAGGAAGGAAGGAAGGAAGGAAGGAAGGAAGGAAGGAAGGAAGAAAAAGAAAGAGATGGACACCAAAAGAAAGAAAAAGAAAAAAGAGATGGACACCAGTGGCTCAGGCCTGTAATCCTAGCAACTCAGGAGGCTGAGATATGAGGATTGTGGTTCAAAGCCTGCCCTCGCAGGAAAGTCTGTGACTCCTATCTCCATATGACCACCAGAAAACTGAAAGTGGTGCTGTAGTTCAAGTGATAAGAGTGCTGGAGTATAGAGAGGCTCAGGGCTAGAGCCCTGGCCCCAAGTTCAAGCCCCAGGACTAGCACACACACGCACACAAAATCAAACTTAATAACAAATTCAACTTTCTTTTGTAGATGTTATATGCCCTAACAAATTTCAATTACTCTCTAAAAATACTGCATCAAGTAGCTGTATAGATACTGATTTCTACACTAAAATTGGCAGATTTTCTTAATAAAACCTTTTTCAATTATGGAACACAAATGTTTGTATTTGCAGTGCTGGGAAAGAACCCAGGACCTTGTGTGTGAGGCAAGTTCTCTACCAGTGGGCTATACCCCTAGCACAAATCTCAGATCTTATTTTTGTCCTAGTCCTGGTGCTTCAAGGCCTGAGCCCTGTCCCTGAACTTTTTTTCTTTCTCCTTTTCTCTTTTTGAGACCAGGACTCAAACTGGGTACCTGACCACTTTGCTTCATTGGCTACCAATTGAGCCATACCTCCATCCCTAGTGTCTGAGCTTTTTTGCCCAAGGCTAGCACTCTACTCCTTGAACCACAGCTCCACTTCGCTCCTTTTGGTGGCTGGCTTTGAATTGGTATCCTCAGATATCAGCCTCTTGTGTAGTAGCTAATCTTACAGGTCTCAGTCATTGTGAACAGCTCTAATCTCAGATTTTTTCTTTTTTTGACACTGGTGATTGAATTAAGGATGTTGTACTTGCTAGGCAAATGCTTTGCCACTACCAACATCCCAACCCTTCATCTCAGATTTTTAACATGCCTAACCATTAACATTTACATGCACAAAGCTTTTGACTATATCCAAGAACAAATTCCATTAAGTACAATTCTTCCATTTTAAGCACATTTATTAAGTAAAAAGACCCAATGAACAAGAGTTCTACAACACAGATAGTACTTATACTAACTTTGTAACTGATTTAACATCTTCCACATATTAGATTGGAACTTTGTGATACTTCTAAATATCCACAAAACACCACTAAATGTTATTAAAATTTTAGTTTCTGTCACTGACTTGTAAAACATATTTGGCCTAAAAGTATCAGCAGTATGTTTAGACTCACTTAACATAAATGTTCACATGAAGACTGGTTAAATCCTTTCATATTAGTTGAAAATACTATATAAATAGTAGGGAAATACTACATAAATAGTAGGGAAAGCATTTGATATGGTTCCTCTACGGGCACCTGTAAGAATTAGTGCTAAGAGGTTTAAAGAACTTCATCACAAAATCTTCAAGGGTAAATAAATGAACTTTTTAAATTCTTACATAATCAGCCAAAACAATCTTTATGTGTTCAAAGTCGATGGCATCTAATTTAGTTTTCAAAAACAGCTTACTCCAGAGCAAAAGGAATTGTCAGAATATTTTTGCAACAAAATTGCTTCCTCCACTTTCTGACTTCTAAAGTAATGTTCGAAAATTATGTCCACAGCTGGGCATTGTGCTACCAGTCTGTAATTCTAGCAATGGGAAGGCTGAAACAAGGAGTTCAAGGCCAAGTCTGGGATACATAGTAAGACTCTGTGAAATAAAATTTTAAAAAAAAGAAGAAAAAGGAAAAAATAAGTAGACATGGCATACACTGACAAAACTGTTAGTAAAATAATAAGCTTTTAAAGGGATTTTTATTTTGAAAACTTGGGTGAATAGCCTAAAATTCTTTTGCCAGCGGAGTCAACTGTTCAAATTCACCTGGGAGAAAAACGTGTCATACCATTGTAAAATCTTAAACCAAGCTTTATACAGAGAGCGGTATCAATACAAAAATCCCATGACACAGAGAGCGGTATCAATACAAAAATCCCATGATCACCACCTACGAAATCAACGACTCACATTATTCCAAGAAATTATTCTAGAGAACAATTCTGAATATCGTAACTGTCCTAGAAATGTTTAGTTGAAAACATGTAACTGATCCAATAGGAATATTCCACAGAAGACGTTATTCCACAAGACCGAGCCATAAGGAAAGATCAACATTTCGGGGATAGTCATCCACCCTGAAAGTAAAATACAGAGCATGGCACAGAACTAGTAATGGAAAGAACGGTGCGGCTACTACATCATGGTACTCCAAACCCTTTGTCTGGAAACCGGAAGGTCCCACAAAACATGATCCTGTCCAGATGAACCTGGACTAACAGTATTTTCACAGAGAAAAGGAATGTGAGGCGACTGACCAAACATGGAACAAATCCGCCTCCCGGCGTGCAGAAGGTTTTTTATCCACGACGCAATACGAAAAAACAAGCGTTAACGTCTCATTTTCGGCCATTTTTACGAGACTGGGGGGGGGGGGGTGTTGTTCCAGATGTCTGGCTAAAATCGCGCGGGCGTCTGGGCAGGGAAAACGAGTGTGTATGGGGGAGGGGGGGGTGCTACGAAGCCAAGGGCGAGGATGGGCTTGAAAGCTACACCAGAAAAAACAAAACAAAACAAAACCCACGTAGCTCAAAACAGAAAAGCTTTCCAGTGTTAGAAATCCTCCATTTTGGGGGGTTCACATTTTCAGAAGAAAAAGGCAAACGCACTCTTTGGGGTTGGCGCTACCCAAGGCCTTTTGCTAGCTTTAACTATCCGCCCCAAACGGCAGGTTCCCCAACGGACAGTAAGGTCCCTCAGGCCTCAAACGCTCCTCCCTCCCCCTGAGCGCGGCGGCCCGCGTGTAACGGACTTGTCCCGCCCCCGCCTACGGTTAGCCCAAGACGCGTGAGGCTCGGCCGATAAGCAAACCTCGGGAGCCCTGGCTTTCCCGCTGCACCCCGGGCCACTGGGTGGAAGCGAGTCTTCCTCAAGAACCGCTCACCTCCGTCACCTGAGGAGGCTGGTTGCGCTGCCACTGCGCTCCTAACATGGCGGCCGCCGATTAGGCGGCTCACATACGCAGCGCGAAGGGAGGCAGAGCGGGCGAGCGGGAGCGAGCAATAAAGGCGCGCCGCCGGTTCCCCGCGGCCCTAGTCGCCGTCGCTGCCCCCTCCCGGCGGACGCAGAGCGCCCCCGGACACCCACCCGACTCTTACCAGCTTCGCGCCTACCTGAGGGAAAGGGAGAGGGGAAAAGGAGAGGTACCTCTCTCCCTGCGAGCGGGACGCGGAGGCTCCCACAATCCCCCGCAGCAACGGCGCTGGCAAGAGGCGGCGGCAGCGGCTGCAGCACAAGAACTAACCCACTCTCGCGAGAGCGCTCGTCCCACCCCCCTCGGGCCCCGGTTCGGCGCGCGCCAGGCTCCTCCCCCTTTGCGGTGCGCGCGTTGTCTCGTTCTCGCTTTTCGCGGCGTTCCTCTCAGATCCCGAGATTTAACTCTTCTTCCTTGGGCTGAGGCGAGAAAATGGGCAAGTTATCTTCTGAGTTGGAGTCCCTTTCCCGAAAAGGCATCTACCTCCCACATCCCTAAACAGCAACGTGCGAAACTTAAGGTGCGTTATTGGCAGGGCGGAGAGTCTCTAGCGTAAACCTAATTTCTACACTCTGTGCAGTTATCTGCTGACGGATGGTACTTCAGGGAATTGATACCATTTCGACTGGTTTTTAAATAAAAGGAATTTCCGTCCAGAAGAGTAAGTAGGAGCAAGAGCCTTAGAGCCCATTCCCTCGAAGACTGCCACCGAAGCCATTTGCGTCCCCATTTCAGACAAGCAAAGGATACAGCTCTCCCGAACCACAGAATCCAGCTGTCGAGGGCAAGGAATTTTCCAGCACAATTAATGATGATGAATAATTACGGAATGCTTACTATGGGTGAGCAACACAATTTACTCAACCTCTCAAAATCGGAAAGGTACTGTCCTAGTTGAGAGATGCTATGAGACACTAAAAACTTGTAGTGAAAAAAGGAATTGCTCCAGGGCGTTTCCTGAAGGAGTATAGCCATTAAAAAAGAAAAAAATCTCAGCTAGGCAACGGTAACTCACTAGGTACTCAGGAATTTTTTTTTTTTTAAATCGGATGTGGAACTTAACTCAGGGCCTGGGCACTGTCACTGAGCATTTCCCCTCAAGGCTAGTGCTTTACCCACGTTGAGCCACATTCTCACTTCCGATTTTCTGGTGGTTAGTTGGAGATAAGTCTCATGAACTTTCTTGCCGGGGTTGGCTTGGAAACGTGATCTTCAGATCTCAGCCTCCTGAGTAAGCTAGGATTACAGGCATAAGCCACGAGTGCCCAGCCAGGAGGCCAAGTCTTGAGGATCGAAGTTCCAGGCTAGCCAGAGCAGGAAAAATCTGTGATAATCTTATCTTCAATTAACAACCAAAAAAATAAAAAAAATCGGTAGAGGAGCGGTGGCTTAAATGGTAGCCTTGGGCACAAAAGCTCAGGGACAGCACCCAGGACCTGCACACACACAAACACATTTCACCTCAGAACATGTGCAAGTCTATCTGGAGAACACAGCAAATTCCTGGTTGTTCTACAACAACTGGTGTTACAAGCTGGGTTATTTTAAGATTTAAGAAGACACATCAGGAGCTGGGAAGGTGGCTCAGTGGTAGGGCGTTTGCCTTGCATGCATGAGGCCCTGGGTGCGATTCCTCAGCACCACATAAGAAAAAACCAGAATTGGCACTGTGGCTCAAGTGGTAGAGTGCTAGCCTTGAGCTGAAGAGCTTAGAGATAGGATAGCGCCCAGGCCCAGTTCAGGCCCATGACCAGCAAAAAAAACACAAAAAAACAAAACTATTAGTCTTGTCCTCTGGGGGCTTGTATTAAACTCTGAACCAATAGTGTTATGAGTTGGGGTAATCTGAGCTATGAGAATATTAAAAAACTTAAGTTTAAGCTAATATTTGATAACCATGTGAAGAAAACGAGGCAGTACTCAGGCACAAATATCATGTTATGAAACCCAGTGCTTTCACAGGCAGCTTTTGGGAAACTGTAACCTTAAATCTAAAGAGGTAGGGAAAAAACGCCTTGCGGTTGTAAATGCAGTGGGACAAGCAGCCAAACACCTGAGATTCAAGACTTAGAGCTTGCTGTCAGATTTTGAAAAAATTTTCTGCATCCATGGAGAACACAGTAGTCAACTGAAGATGGTTTAGATACTGAAGATAGTTTAGGTACTAACCTATATAAAAATGCACACCCTGAAAACCAAACTTAAGGACAATGTGATGAGTGAAGATGAAGACTAAATACAGTATTTCAAGACATTGGTAACATATCTCCAGTTTAGTGGGGAAGTGGGCTGAATACCCAATGTAGTAGAAATGGGCTTTGTTATGCTATGAACCATTATTCCCAGGTCTCAGCCTTCTTTCTGCATAGCTAGGGTTTCAGGAATGTCCACAGTGATTAAGTTGAACTGCAACTCCAGTGTACATGATATAGGCTTGAAGGCATTTAGGTTTCAAGAATTGCCCCAAAGTGAGATTTGAGCTGGCTTCAGGAGCTAAAAGTTTAAGAGGGGACCTGAAAGTTTACTAATCTTAATCTAATTTCCATTTGAAATACCATGTGCTCTGTATTTCTATTGGCTAAATGTCTTCAACTCTAGGGTTTGTCAGTCAAATCTTACTTCTCAAATGTTTCCAGAAGGCTATGACATCTTCTGATTGCAAAGAAAAGTCACTTTTTCAGCAAATCATCACGTACACTAACAAAGGCCCACAGGAAAACTAAATGTTATGGGGCACTAAGAAACATGGCCGTTGAGGCTGGGAAGGTGCCTCAGTGGTAAAGCATCTTGCATGCCTGAGGCCCTGGGTTTGATTCCTCAGCACCACATAAGCAAAAAGACAAAAACCGGAAAGTGGTGCTGTGGCCCAAGTGGTAGAGCACTAGCCTTGAGCTGAAGAGCTGAGGGACAGCACCCAAGCCCAGAGTCAGGCCCCATGACTGGACCCAAAAAAACCCACAAAAAACAGGCTGTGAGATACATCAAGCACTTTATTGACACTTGGGTTACTTGTGAGTAGGTTAGATGCTCCTAAAAAATCTTCAAAGCCAATTTCTGATGAGACTGAAAGGTTTAAGGTAAAGTTTAACTCACCTAAATGATGGATTTTTAATTACAAGGTAGTAACTCTGGACCTGAGTTGAATCCCTGGTTGAATATGGAGGGCAAAATCCCTTAAAACCTTCAACTGGTGAATATGCTATCCTAATACATATTTTTTTTGTGGTGCCTGAGATCAAATACAGGGTATCACCCATAGATTGAAAGTGCTCTACCTTTGTTATATCCCCAGATTATTTTTGAAACTGCAATTCATTAATGGTCTGAGTAACAGGCCTGAGACCAATAATTTTACATTTAGCAGTTAGTATGTATGGAGATACTTTGTGCCACATTCCAAAAATCCCATAATCAGGAAAAAAGTTTGCCTACGATCTAGCAGCTAGTAACATTAAGGGAACCTTTTGCTTTTCAGTTTAAGTACATCTTTTAGTAAAGACAATTAAATAGCATGCCCATATTTTTGCTAAAATTCACAAGACCGACTTGTATGTAGTACCTCCCATTGAAGCAATGGGTACACCTTTTCCATGTACAGTGGAATGTTTGGTTCTTTTCTTTTTTGGGTCCGGTCTCAGGGCCTCAACTCTGGGCCTGGGCGCTGTCCCTCAGCTCTTTAGCTCAAGGCTAGTGCTCTACCACTTGAGCCACATCACCACTTCCAGCTTTTTCTTCTTATGTGGTGCTGAGGAATCGAACCCAGGGACTCATACATGCAAGGGAAGTGCTCTACCACCGAGCCACCTTCCCAGACCTGGTTCTTTAACTTTATCTTGCTCACATTATTTTCTTGAAGGTCACTGAGCTTGTTATTGTCTTAAATTAGATGTTGCTAAAATTTTTTTGTGTGTATGTGCATGTGTGCCAATGCTAAGGTTTAAACTCAAGGCTTTGGTGTTGTCTTTTAGCTTTTTCATTCAACACTTGTGCCATTCCACTTGAACCAGACTTCCACTTATACCTTTATGGTGACTAATTGGTTTCCTGGACTTTTCTGAAAAGGCTGGATTCAACCTGAAACCATTAAATCTCAGCCTTCTGAGTAGCTAGGATTAGCGGTGAGCCACGGCCGCCTGGCTTTAAGCAGAGATTTTTAAAGCATTACATTTGTTAGTTCACTGAAACTGCTTTCTAGCAATTTGATAGTTCCAGTAACTGGGGCTGGCCATAAAGCCTAATTAAGCACAAGACACACAGAAATAATTTTCACTACTTTAGGTCCTAATTAGTTCCTCTTGGCAGGTTGTTTTCCTTTGTGTGAATTCCTAGGCACTTAGTCTTGTTTTCTGTCCCTTTGGGTTTTGCAGAATTATCCCCCCCGGGGTTTATTCTCCTTGATTGAAATTCCAGACCTGATCCAAAATTTCAATGTAATTTTTTGAATTAAAAAAAAAAACAAAACCTAGAGTGGGCAGCACTGGTGGCTCACGCCTATAATCCTAGCTACTCAGGAGGCTGAGACTTCCCCAATAAACCAATAGAAAAACAGAAATGGTGCTGCGGCTCAAGCAGTAGCTCAAGTGCTTGCCTTGAGCTCAAGAGTGCAGGGACAGTGCCCAGGCCCTGAGTTCAAGCCCCACAACCAACCAAAAAACAAAAAAACCTAGAGCAGCAGGATGGAATACTGGAACTGAAAAAGAGTAGAGCAAGTGGGGACCAGGAGGCTCAAGGCGTAAGACTCATCAGCACATGAGTACCAGGCAAACTTATTTATTTGGTTTAGTACAAGGAAGGTTACTATAGATCAGGCTATACATGTAGAAAACAAGGTCTTAACATATTTTGATATTACAGTCATCGACATAAAAAGACAGCGTTTGTGTACCCAGTGTTAACTGACACCAAGCAGGGCTGTGCAGACATTTATCTCAACTTTCATAGGGTCCAGTTGTCAGCCTTCTGAGCACTGGTGAGGTAGCAGTCCAACCTCTTAGCCCTTTCCTACATAACCAGTAACCAAAAAAGGGGGTGAGAGCACTGAGAATAGTACTTATTAGTTAGTCCCCAACTTACCTTTAATATTTCCCCCCTACAAAATGAGGGTTCTTTCGTTAACTTCTGTCTATGACAGCTCGGCAGCTTGTATATCCTGCCAATCTAATTGTTTCCATCACAGCACGGTATGGGAAAAGAATGATAGAGAAAGGGTAGTGATGACTTTAAAGCTACTTTGGGTGTTTTGTGTTAATATTTTTGCTGATATGGTTTTGTACTTGCTTGGCTTGCATTCTACCACCTGACCCATGTTTCCAGGCTGATCTTTGGTCGGTGTTTTGGAGATGAGAATCTTGAGGACTTCTGTTGAGTTGGCTTCAAATGATTATCCTTTGGATGTGCTAGGACTACAGATATGAACCACTTGACCCCAAATAAATGTCTTCTTACATTTCTTCTTAGACTCACCAGGGCATAAGTTCCTTTGCTTAAAAAACAAAAATCAAGTCAATTAAGAAATCCTATTAAATCTCATGATTATACTACTAAAACCAACACAGACAAGGACAGGGACACACACACACAGCAAAGTAGCAACATAGGAGCCTCTATCATAGTAGTAGCCCTATTGTGGTCAAAAGGCAATCTGCTCACTTAATACAGTAGAATAAATGGTGTAGAGGAGTTGTCAAGTGGAAAGTCATGGCCATGAGTTTAATCCCTAAACAAAAAAGGTACCACCAACAAAATTACCCTACAGGCTTTTATGACAAAACCATGTCTAAGGACACTGATCAAAGGCTCTGTAGTAGCTAAAATTTGAAGACTTTTTTTCCTTAAGTGGAAAAACCAGGTATGATAGCTCACACCTACCTGTTGTAATCCTAGTGACATGATAGCATTTGTTTTCTCAGCTACCATAGGAAGCAGAAAAATAGCACTGAATTCCAGGCTACCCAGAGGAAAAAGGAAGGCTCAAGGGTTGAATTTCACTCTATAAACAGGGGTTGGCAAAGGCCACGGGCAAATTTTAACATGCTGCCCTGTTTCTAATGGCCCCTGAAAACAGAATTTCAAAAAGATTTTCATTTTTACATTATAAAGATGACAGAAGGGTTAGTTATGTAAGTTGGGATGTCATCCCTTTCCTTATGGTTTCCCTCCTATTACCCCCTTTAAGTTGTATAGTTCATTTGTAACAGTTTCTACTGAGTATCAGTGCTGTATTTGCTCACTCTTTGGCCCTCCGTTTCTGCCCCCATTGTCCTCCCAAAGGCACACTATACACACTAGACAAAAAAAACCTCTTGTTTCAATTTTCTGGAGTTCATTTATATGATCAGATGCATATAGGGATTGTGCCTTGGTGGCAAACAGAGTTTTGACACTGAAAATTGCATGCAATTCCAATTTTAGTGCCCATAGCCATGCTCATTTGTTAACACATTGTTCAATGGCAAAAGAAGCAGAAAATATTTACTGTTTGAGCTAGTGCATTAAGCTTGCACCTGTGCTCTTGAACAGCAATGCTAATACTTAAAAAAAATGAAGGTACTGTGTTAGGACCCTTGCACTGTCACCTAGACTTTTCAACTCACAGCTGGTACTCTACTACTTCAGCTATGTCTGGCCCCTGCTGGTTAATTGGATGAGTCTCACGATTTTTTTTTGCCTGGGATGGCTTTGAACCTGGACCCGTAGATCCTAAGACTCCTGAGTAGCTAGGATTACAGATCTGAGCACTGGGCCTTAGTGTGATCTTGAATTAGTTGCACAGTAGGGCTGTCTTAGCCAGTCACTGTCAAAGACAGTAATAAAAACAGGTTTCTCATAATTCAAGAAAGTATTATAAATTATCTCTAAGGTGCTAGGAATTGAACACAAGGCCTTTCCCATGACGTTCTACTTCTGCTCTTTTCCTAACAATAAAAATCTGTTTGCTAGCCGGGCGCTGGTGGCTCACGCCTGTAATCCTAGCTACTCAGGAGGCTGAGATCTGAGGATCACAGTTCAAAGCCAGCCCGGGCAGGAGAGACCGTGAGACTATCTCCAATAAACCACCAGACCGGAAGTGGCGCTGTAGCTCAAGTGGTAGAGCGCTCGCCTTGAGCTGAAGAGCTGAGGGACAGCGCCCAGGCACAGAGTTCAAGCCCCACAACCGACAAAAAAATAAATAAAAATAAAAAAAATCTGTTTGCACCCAGACTAGGATCAACTCCATAGGAGAAGTCATTCCACTCTCAGAGGTGCAAAACACTGTCCAAAGGCACTTTGCCCCAACACCAAAACAGTGTATGGAGCAAACCTCAAAACAGCGTTTGTTCTTCCAACAGTGTAACACAATCACAGGCACCACAGTAGTCTGGATAGCTGACAACTGCTGGATTAATCCCCTAATAATTTAACATTGTTTCAGACACACAGGTATTCCAAATACAAGGCACATATACTCGCATCACTAGTTGGATGTTCTCATATATTTTCAGTATTTTTTTCTACCATAGAGTTCTTGCACAGGAAATGGAGATCTAGCTGTGATCAAAGCAAGACAAATACAACTTGTTAGAGGGAAATAATTATTTCCTGATGGCTATTAACTAGTCAACAGGCCTGGCCCCAACGGGGTAGCCAATGTTGGAAAAAACAGACATTTACCTGATAAGTCGACGTGCATTGTCCACCTGCCAGTGTTTCTCTTTAAAATGGTGAAAATGTGCTCTATTTTCAAGACACCCTAAAGAAGGGAAGCAAATATGGCTTAGTGATCTAGTGATAGTAACAGTCTGACAGTCCTTTTAAGGGAAGGCCATCTCATAACAATTGCTGAGGGTATTGGGTAATAGGGATCTATGTACTTTTGTTACCTTTTAATAAATACAAGTCAGAAAGACAATCTATCCTTAAGTTCCCTGATAGTGTACACCAAACATGTTACAAGAAATTGAGGGCAGCTCAATTTTTCAAGTTTGTATCTAGCAAAAGAATTTAGGCTAGACAGGAAATTTTATTAGGGGTAAAAAGATAGCAAGAGGGGCTGGGAAGGTGGCTCAGTGGTATAGCGCTTGCCTTGCATGCATGGGTTCGATTCCTCAACACCATATAAGCAGAAAAAGCCAGAAGTGGCACTGTAGCTCAAGTGGTAGAGTGCTATCCCTGAGCTGAAGAGCTGAGGGACAGCGCCCACACCCAGAGTTCAGGCCCCACAACTGGCAAAAAAAAAAAAACAAGAAAAAGATAGCATGAATCCATCTCAGCCGTCTTACCCAGTCTTCTTGGTCATGGGTTAAGTAGGAAAAATTAACCCCTTCAAGAGGGCTTTTTGATTGGTACGTCTCCTTTAAGTTATAAAGACCAGCAGTGAAGACTCCGTGCTGTCCTTATTTCCCATTTCTTTTCTAGCCTCATTTAGTTGTCACATTGGTTCTGGTTTACCACCTTATCCTGGTGTCTGCAAGTTACATAGGCCTCAATTTCCTGACTGCCTGTTTTCCAATAACTAATTATCACTTTTAATGAAAGCAAAATCCCATTAACTTCCTTTATCAGGCATCTTTTGTGCTATCTGTAGGCACTAAAAAAATTAAAGCTTGACTTCTATTAATATACCCCTGGCAGGCTTACTTTTCCTGTATCCAATGTGTAACTCAGGTAATTTTATACTGCCCACACCTGTTAGGCCAGAGCAACTCAGGTGTGGATTTTACGTTTCCCACTCAAGCCATGCTCTTGCAGATTTAAACTTAGTGAATAATAAATTATGCTGACATCCTGGTATAGTTAACTACAGAGTTGGCATGAACCAGGCCCAGAATGCCAACCAGCTATTGGCTGCTGTTCTCCCAGCAGTGTAACACATGCCTAGGTACAATGTTCAACCTAGGCAGCTGCCTACAGCTGGGGCAAAAGAGATAATTAAGTTGTACTCACCTCACATGTGCCTGAATTCCACAGCTGGCTACTCTGAAACCAAAGCACTATAGGTTAGTCTTGATATCAAAACACATATGCAACTCACCTCATTCCCCAAGATCTCTTAACTTTGTGAGGCTGGAGACGCAGAAACAATAGTGGACAATAGAACAGCTTATCCTTGGTTAGATTTGTTTTCTTATCTTTTTCATAACCTTTGTATCACAGCACTTCAACAGTGTATCTACAGTCTTGTCAACAATAGAAAAATCTAGTTCTAGCACATACCAGCTGACTCAGTAAGTAACTGTACCTGTCATCTAAGAGATTATTAACAATGCTTTGTCCAGTCCTTGGGATATTTAAATAGAATATAAGATTAAGCCACAGCATATGTGGTATCACAAGCTATATTCACAGAAATGGTATCAAGAATCAGGGTGAGGCAAGGTACTGGCGGCTCACACCTGTAATCCTAGCTACTCAAGAGACAGATCTGAAAATTTAGGTTTGATGCCATTGTGGGTAGACAAACTCAAGACTTAAACTAACCTGCAAAAATCCAGAATTGGAGATGAGGTTTAGATTGTAAGAGCACTAGCTTTGATCAGAAAAAGCTAAGGAACAGCATCCATGCAGAGTTCAAGCCCCAATACTAGCACGAAAAAAAAAAAAACACCAATCAGAATGTGCAGTTACCCAGGGAGAGTAATGGATGAAGATTAACTAGAAAGGCCAAGGGCTAATAAAAACTAGATATAGGGCCAGGCACTGAAAATAAGTGTTACTTAGAGCAGAACTTGGCTCAAACCAGTATTATCTATTCATGAGGTGACGATCCAGTAGGCAGCCTGGGCAAGTTTTGAGGCCTAGGCCTCACTAATGGCTGGATGCAGTGGCATGCAAGTCATCCCTAGTGACACCAGGAAGCATAAAACGGTAGTCTAGGATGGCCAGGACATAATACCAGAACCTAACTCAAAAGTAGTCAGTGGAGGGCTGGGAAGGTGGCTCAGTGGTCAGAGTGCTTGCCTTGCATGCAATAGGCCCTGGGTTTGATTCCTCAGCACCACATAATCAGAAAGGAGGTTGCACTGGCACTATGGCTCACATGGTAGAGCACTACCCTTGATTTGAAGAGCCGAGGGACAGTGCTCAGGCCCAGAGTTCAGGCCCCACAACCAAAAAAATCAATGGAAAAAGGGGTCTAAGGCAGTATAGTGTATGCCTAGGCAAGCAGGAAACCCCAAGTTAGGTTGGATCTCCATTTAGGGCCATAAGCAGATCCCACCATTCACAACGTTGAATGAATAGACCACAAGACTGGTGCCACAATTCAACTACACTTCCAGTTTCCCCCTCTTGCTGGTTAACTGAACACTTAAAATACTGGACTTCTTTGTTGCAAATAGCTTGCTACTGGTTCCTGGAGAACTGAAAGGGACTAGTGGTAGTTATGTTTCCACGACCTCCACTACTGATTTAAAAATAGTAATCAACACGTTTTCAAAAATGTTCATGCCAGGCGATGGTGGCTCACGCCTGTAACCCTAGCTACTCAGTTTAAGGTCCATTCCTGGACAGCGAACAGACCTCGCCCAGTACCTGCGTTACCTAGGCAACTGGGACACCTGGAAGAGGTCACATCCGCATCAGCTGCTCCCACTTCCCTTTACCTGGGCACACCCTTCCCCGACCCCCTACCCTATATAAGGCCTAATCCGGGGCCAGACGCTCTCTCTCTTTTGCCAGCCGCGTGGAGTGCCAACCTTGCCTGGTCCCAGCAGGTCTACTGAATAAACCTACCCCTTACCTGAATGCCACTTGCTGGTGCTGTTCTTACTCGGCTACCTCTTTTTAAAAACCTAACACTCAGGAGGCTGAGATCTGAGGACTGTAGTTCAGAACTAGCCCTGGCACGAAAGCCCGTCAGACTCCACATGGCCACCAGAAAACCGGAAGCGGCGCTGTGACTCAAGTGGTAGGGCGCTTAAAAAATCAAGGACACCACCCAGGCCTGTTCAAAGACCAGGCCGGCACCAAAAGGAAAAACTATTTCTACACGCTCACCATGATTAATCCCGTTCATCTAAGCCCATACTTTTTTTTCTGGCCATATTGCGACTGATCTCACCCAGATAACATTTTTTAAAAGTATTTTTGTGGTATGAGTTTTGAATGCAGGGCCAGAGCGCTGTCCCTAAGCTCTTCTGTTCAAGGCTAGTGCTCTACCACTTTGAGCCACAGCTACACTTCCAGTTTTCTGGTGGTTAACTCAAGAGTCTCACGAACTTTCCTGCCCGGGATGGCTTTGAACCGTGATCCTTAGATCTCAGCCTCCTGAGTAAGATTACAGGCGCGAGCTACCAGCGCCTGGTACATCAAGTTAGTGTAAATGAATAGGAAAAAAATGAGTTGGGGTTAACCGGTCAGGCCTAAAAATCGAGTGTAAAACTGGCCTGCCCCTTTCAGGGCCAGTTCCGCCCAAACACGTGGATCTCACAAACATTCCCAAATCTCTGCCCGCGGCGCCTGGAGAAGCTTTCGAGACTGGCTTGAGTCTCGCTGGGTGAATTTCCAGTAAGAACCCAGTAGAACCCAAGAGGCGACATTGGGATTTGTTTCCCAGCCTCTCTACAAGATGCCTTCCAAGCCTGGGGTCCCAAGGAAACTAACCCTAATTTCGCCCCGCAGAAGCCCTTCCACTCCTTTTCGACCGTAGCTGGTAAACCTCCTAGGCTTCTTCCCCACAATCTAGCCCACACTCACCCGCACATGTACGGAGCACCGCAAGACGCAACCACCACGTTACAGGCCAGAGGCGAAAGGGCAGCAGGAAGCTGATAGGAGCCCCGCCCCGGAGCGCGGGGCAGGACTTTTGGGCGGGGTTTCTCGCCCAGGAGAGGCAGGGTTTAATGAAAAGCCAGGAAAGTGGTGGAGTGGAGCTGTGGATCGGAGCTACGTCTTGGATATTGGGAAAGGGCTGGAGTTTAAACAACTGCTACATTTGGTGGGCAGATTTACATTTCATTTCTTATGTAAAAGGGGCGCTGCTCTTGTTACTACTAAAAAGAGAACGTCCTTTGTGGTGGTAGGAACCGACCGAATGTCTGCTTTTAATGTGCCTGAGTGGCGGGGTCTTTTGCATACGTGTGGTGTCTTTTGGTAGCTTTAAGTCTAGCCCACGCTTTTGCAGATCCCACGCAGACCCTCCTGCTGCTGTTCTGCGACACTGTGCGCTCACTTGGACAATGCATCTCCCACCCACACAGGAACATACTACAGGTCACCTTGGTCCAGTCTCCAGAAGACTTTCTGGCCAATCTGTCCTATCATCCCTGCAGTATTCCTGATGTCCACTGTGGAATTCTTAGCTGACTTGCAGCGGCTACAAAATAACTGATTTTGACAAGTTTTTGCTGCTCTTTTGCCAGTGAGGCTATATCCTTCGTCTGAACACTGCTCCACATTATCAGGATTGGAAATTACCAACAGTAATTTCTAAATCCATTTTGCAATTCCCTAAATTGTAGAGCTTCTCTCTTTTCAATATCTCTTGTTTAGAAGTTTAGAGGCCCTGCTGAGATGCTGTGTCTGGCACCATAGCCAGGCAAACCCTTGGAAAGCATCCACTGCCCTTGACATTTGCCAATATCCTTTACTATCTACCTTCTCTGCTCTTTTATAATGCAAAAAAAGAGTGGTGCTTCTTGTGCACCCCGACCCTATTATAATCTCTTTTTAAAAGAAATAGCTCAGAGCCCCCAGTGGATTAATGGATTTCCAACAAGAGACCCTAGGCTATAGAGCCAAAGAACCACTGGAAAATAGCAAGCCTCAGTCCTCCCCAGTTTTAATGGAGTTGGTCGGGCTAGGGCTTACATAAGTACAGTAATTTATAAAGTCACATGGTTAGTGTTGGCTTTGTAGGCAGGAGCTCTGTTTTGCAGTTAAATAAAATGTGGCTGAAGACTGCTGCCTTAATCAAAGCAGCATCCGCCTGTCACAGTGTATTCATAAAGGAGGGTTATGAGAACCATAAAACCAGCAGATTGGGTGGGTAATTGTCCTACAAAGCTCTGCCAAAGGAGAAATTACATTGACATCTCATATATTTTGTTATTTTGCCTTCCAAACCCACAAAGTGGAAAAAGCAGAGCAACCCTTAGATTCATGAAAAGATGAGAGGTGTGTGTGTGAGAGAGAGACAGAGAGAAAGAAAGACAGAAACAGAAGAAAGGAGAGGAGAAAGTGGCTATGCACAGAGAGGAGTGTTTTTGGAGACAAAGGGATCTATAACCTTATGATGATTGGATTCACAAATTATTTGAGGTACAAGGGAATATTTATGTAGGGAACTAGGTGCTGCTGGCTAATGCCTGTAATCTAGCTAATTCCAGACTGAGTTCAAGCCCTAGGATCAGCACACACAAAAAAACTGGTCACTGGCTGCTGGTGGCTCACACCTGTACTCCTAGCTACCCAGGAGGCTGAGATCTGAGGATCGCAGTTCAAAGCCAGCCTGGGCAGGAAAGTCTGTGAGACTCTTATCTCTAGTTCACCACCGGAAAACTGGAGGTGGCACTGTGGCTCAAGTGGTAGAGCACTCGCTTTGAGCTGAAGAGCTCAAGGACAGGGCCCAGGACCAGAATTCAAGCAACACGACCAATAAGGGAGGGTGAGTGGGGAATGGGGACTGTGGTCACTAATTTTAAGTATAGGCCAGTCAGTATCCCGTGGAGGAGATTCAGATGATAATTTCTTCTTTTCTGAGTTAAAAAATATTTTCTAAATACTTCTAAATTCTGAATTGATGGTAGTAGATTAATTTTTGTGTTCTTTTACCATTAATATCAACTTTTTTTCTATAGTTATGTTTCTACACCCACAAATACAAAATTGTGGAAGTAGCAACAAAAATAATAGTGGAGGTTGTGAAAAGAAAACAAGACAACCTGCAGGTGGATGGAAGGCAAAGGATGAGGGGAAGCCCATTTGCTTGAAGTCTGACATCATAACCAGAAGTCTTGTCTCTCTTCCACCTGTCCTCTCCTCGCTTCTCTCCTTGATGTCTTTTGCCCTTGAGTCCAAAAAGAACACACACACACACCACCATCACCACCACCACCACCTAGGCCACTATTGTTTGATTCCATTTGTGTGTCCTGTGGCTTGAATGTAATTTGTCGTTAAGATGCTCATGAGAGCACTGCCCTCTGAAGAAATTAATACAGTTCTCCTGGGACTGCAGTTCATTCCTTTGAGTAGGTTTTCAAAAAGAACAAGACAGTCTGCTCCCTGGCTTCCTCTCTCACCATATGCTCTCTCTCTTACACGTTACCACCATGATAATGTTATCTACCATGTTGGGACACAGCCAAGGGATCATGTGAGTCAAATAAATCTCTTTTCTTTATAGTACCAGACACATATATTTTGGCATAGTGACAGAAAATGGACTAAGGATATGAAAGTTCAGATAGGGATATCTATAGAGACAAAAAGTATATTAGAGGGAGCTGGGAAGGTGGCTCAGTGGTAGAGTGCTTGCCTTGCATGCATGAGGCCCTGGGTTTGATTCCTCAGCACCACATAAAACAAAAAAAGAAAAAAAAGCCAGAAGTGGCGCTGTGGCTCAAGAGGTAGAGTGCTAGCCTTGAGCTGAAGAGCTGAGGGACAGCACCCAGGCCCAGAGTTCAGGCCCCACGACCGGACCCAATAAATATATATATATATATATATTAGAGGTTGCTTAGGGCTGAAAGGGGGACAAAATGGTAGTTAAAGAGCTTAGAATTTCTTCTTGGGGAGATGAAAGTGCTCTAGAATATTTGTAAATATATTAACAATCACTGAATTATATTCCTTTTTTTTTTTTTTTTTGATTCGTTGTGGGGCTTGAACTCTGGGTCTGGGCACTGTCCCTTGGCTCTTCAGCTCAAGGCAAGCACTCTACCTTTGAGCAGCACTTCTGGTTTTCTAGTGGTTTATTGGAGATTAGAGTCTCACAGACTTTCCTGCCCAGGCTGGCTTTGAACCGCGATTCTCAGATCTCAGCCTCCTGAGTAGCTAGTATTGCACCCAGCTTGAATTATATTCTTTAACTGGGTAAACTGTATGGTGTATGGAGTATGCCTCAATAAAGCTGTTAAAACAACAGCATGAAAAGCATACCTGGAGACCTGAAAAATCAGTAGTTCTACCCATAATTGTGGGATATATAGTCATTTCAGGGCCAGAAAGAGCTTTTAATTTTTATTAATTTATTTTATTGTTATAGAAGTGATATACAGAAGGGTTACATTTACATATATCAGATAATAAGTACATTTCCTTTCATACACTGTCATCTTTTCCCTCATTCTCGTCCATTCCCTATTCCCTTCCTTTTTAAAATTTTAAAATTTAAAATTTTTATTTCTTGCTAAGCCTGGAGCTTTAACTCAAGGCCTGGGCCCTGTCCCTAAACTTCTCTTTGCTCAAGACTAGAGTTCTACCACTTGAGCCCCAGCTTTACTTAAGAGTCTCTTGGACTTTCATGCCTGGGGTGAATTTCAATGATGATTCTCAGATCTCACCCTCTTTTTTTTTTTTTTGGCCAAGTAGAGAATTTTTGTTATTGCTTCCGGTGGGATAGCTGCCATCTATTAAATTTGAGTAGTTAAATTTGTTTGATCTCACCCTCTTGCTAGGAATTCAGTCATGAGCTACCAGTGCCTGCCTAGAAAGGACTTTTTATACTAGATTCAGTGGCTTCTCAGAGCTCCTGCCTATGTGTGGAAAAACATAAGGACTTTTAGGGCCAGCAGTTCAAACAGAAGCAAAGAGGTATGCAACATTCCCATGCTTCCTAATAAGGACTTAATTCAACATCTATAGTTACCTACAAGGCAGAAGGCATTTGGGCCCTGAAAGAACCAGAGTCTCTGTATTCCCTCTGTGTTAAAAATTAATTATGATAATAACCTTTGCATAAACAAATATAGCTCTTTAGATGAAAGACTATTAGATAAAAAGAATAGTCGCAAGGCAGCCTGGGATTCTGAGCTCTCTCTGTTGCATATAGGGAAACATAATGACGTCAGCAAAACAAGACCAATTCCTAGTCCTTGGAGTTGAGCAAGTTCCAGGACTTGGCTTCTTCCTCACATGCCTCTAATCACCCCTTCATTTGGTTGCTAGACTCAATTTGTTAGTCTATTTTCATACTCCTCATTTTCTCACTACCCTCACCCCCACAATGTCCAAATTGGCCCTCCAATACTGAAACCATTTGCCGGAAATTCATTAAACTGAACACATGGGAAATTACAGAGGAGATTTCACTTGTCACTTAGGCTCAAATTTAGAAAGTAATTTTAAAAGGACAGTGCTGGGAGACTATTTTTATCTTGCTTGTTTGTGCTGACTTTTCTTATCTTGCTGTCTTTCATTCTCTTCCTGCCTATCTCTCCTTTTCCTTGTTTCTTCTTAAACTAAACATTGGCCTTTAGAAATATTTGTCACAAGTTCTTCTATCTTGCTCTTTAGGCTCTGTTTTCTTTTTACTTGTTCATTCATTCATTCACTTATTCACTCATTCAACATATCCCCAGGTATGAGGCTAATCTAGGCAACATAGTAAGATCCTATCTCTTTAAAAAAAAGAAATAGCCAGGGTAGCTCACACCTATAATTTATTTATTTTTTATTATTTTTTTTGCCAGTCCTGGGGCTTGAACTCAGAGCCTGGACACTGTCCCTAAACTTCTTTTACTCAAAGCTAGCACTCTACCACTTGAACAACAGCGCCACTTCCGGCTTTTTCTGTTTATGTGGTATTGAGGAACCCAGGGCTTCATGCATGCTAG